GACAAAAATGGGACGTCTAATTTTTGTTTAATAGTAAAATGCAATATATTATTATTAAATTATTTAATAATTTAATGATAAATGCTCTTAATTGCATTAAAAGGATCTATTTTCATCTATTAATATGTTAATATTTATATATAAGATATCTTAATCGCTATCATCTTCCGATTCATCGTCGTTGACGTTACCAATGTGGATTATCATTTCATGACCATGATCATCGTCCTCTATAATTTTTTCAGTGTGTGCTATTTTTGACTTCCATGATTCTGGAGTAACTTTTTGTAATGCCTGTTCCCACATAGTAAGCACTTTATCATTACCATAGCCATCTTCACCAATATGTTTATTATAATAATCCTTTGCATCGGCCCATACCATTTCAATTGCGTTAAATTGACAATGGAAGTGCATTTTCTTGTAGCAATTCATCAACCTTATATCGTATTGGTTTTTTATGTTTCTTGGCTAAATTTAAAAGTTCTACTTTGAACATATCATTATTTAATGGTATATTATTTTCTTCCAACCATTCCTTAATTTTGTTTTTAGTCAATAAAACCGTTGGTTGTTTTTCCATTTTAAAAGACGCTATGGTAAGACGCGTTGTCCATTATAATTAGAGAAGGATCCTGTAAATTTGGGATAAATTGTTCTTGCAACCATTTCAAAAAAATTTCTGAGTTCATATCACCATGATAATCCGCCAGTTTGGACCTCGTGGAGTAAACCAATGCGGCATCGCGAATAAAACCTTTTTCATTATCAACATGCAACACAATGAAACGTTTTCCATCATAACCTTCTGGTTTGCGTACACTTTTTGTGGATGAGTCTTGCCAGGATCTTGTATGGCTTCCTTTAGCAAATATCCAAGTTTCATCTAAATTTAAATACGCAAATTATGGAAAATACTAAAAAATTCAAGTACACCAATGATGACAGGCTGTCAAAGTTTTGTAGACATTTGTGCATTTAGCTATCTTTGTCGATCCCATTATTATAAAAATATAAAAATAAAGAACGTATGTTGTGGTATTATTAGACATACGTTTATCTATCGCTATATGCTACGTCCCAGTGGTCCTGCGGCGTGGAAATACAATACGAATGTCTGAGCTATATCCTTACATATGTCACGTGAGGGTCATGATTAAAAAACCAAACTATACCCGTAGATTGATTATAAACCATTTACCGTTACCCTGGGTTGCCAGGTGAAAAAAAAAACATTCATGCGATCCACAAACAGTAATCTTATAATATTAATTGTGCATAGAACTATTTTATTAAATTTATTAATAATTACCTAAATTCATTTCACGTACGGTAGCCCAAACTAACTTTGCTACAATGACAATTAACGCGTTTTAATTTAACAAAGTTGGTATCTCATTTAATTTTAAAACTTGATGACAGGCTGTCATCATGACATTAATAACCATAAAAAAATATATTTAACTTTACGGCCCAGTAAAGGCAAGACTGGATTTTTAGAATAGAAATATTCCTGTTTTTCCCGATAGTAATGCTCGATTGGTCCTTTTATAAGGGAATATGAATTTATAAAAATATATATTTGGTTACGTACACGCTACTTTTTTTACTACTGAAGGAGAAGCTTATGGCACTTTACAAGGAGTAAATAAAGATACCAAAAAGAAGAATGCAATATTTTCCGATTGCCTTTCCGAAAATAGAATTTAAATTTAAGCGGCCAATTTTTTCGAAAGAAAAAAACAAAAAATTCACGAATATTTCCATAAAATTCTGTAAAAAAAATGTGTAAAACCTATAAAGAAGCGGAGCTTAGCTAAATTTGTATTTTTTAGTCCGTTTTTCAATAAAATCGTCCAACAAGAAATTTTCTAATTTTCATGCATCTGTTTTTTAATCACAGATTATAATGACAGATTAATTTGATGACAAATAGAAATTAAGTATATTTACTTCACTAAATTTACCTAATACTTAATAGTCATAGTTACAATTGAATGGTGTTGTGCAACAGGGTACCAACCCTCACTGTTGCAAAACTAAGATAATAACGTCCGAAAAATTATGTGGTTCCTTCATCACTGTGGTCTTAATTATAGATTCAACGTTTTAATTTTATTTCCAAATTTCTAATTTTGTACTAAATTTTTTTTTATTATAAAATTGTTTTCATTATTTTCTTTAAAATGACTAAATTTGTTGGTTGGTCCCTTGTATAATAAATAAAACTGATAGTTATTGCCTATTGTTTTATTATAACATGGAAACCAAAATTTATTAATTCATTAATATTGACCATAGATAACAAAGCCTTTGATATTGACTAATAAAGTAAATAATAAAATAATTGTTTTATTCCTTCTCTATCTCAAAATCCAAAGATTCACTGAAACCCTCCAGGTCCTCATAAGTTTATGTTGAGTTTACAAACAACTGTAATCTGTTAACTAATTAAATAAGTAGTTTGTAATTATAACAAACCTTTTAATAACAAAATCCTATGTCAATAATTTAATACTAATGTATATCTTTAAATTTATATAAAATGGCAAGGCATGAATTGGAATAAAGTAATAAATAGATTTTAAACCTTTTAATTTTAGCTCTAAGATAAGTTTTTCTTCTGCCCATAATAGGACTAATTGAATGTCTGAACCACCTGATCTTCTCTTATTTTTTTTGGAAAAATTGATTTTGTCATACGGAATTTCTTCGTCGTAACTGTCTTTCGTATATAAAACCATTGGTTGATTTTTTTCCAACATTATTTTTTTCAACTTTAACCAGATCCAAGTAGCATGGATCCTTGTTGCAGTATAAATATATTGCGTTTAGTTAAAAGTAACGTTAACCTAGCCGCTTGGCGATGAATAACCTTTCATAATTTCGATATATAAGCAAAAGTTAGCACAACCATGCAGCTTAAAGCTTTGTTGAGATTTAAGAACTTTGATTGCAGAGTTCTATATTATTTTGAATATTTTAATTCAGTATGTTCTATTTCTTTAAAATATTTTCAAAAGCAATACATTTATCTCGCTTTTTTCTATTATGAGGGATGGTTCAGTGGTGGCTCGTGACCATTTATGAAGGTGAGGCCCATGAACCGCTATATGGCACCGCAGGCAATTTTTTTTGAAATTTTCAAAGTCTTGCGTTTTTGGAGCACTTCAAAATCTTAATAATAAAAATATATTATTTAAAAATATGTTCTTTCACGACAAGAATTTTCAAAATTTAGCTAGAATAATACAATAAGTGCGGGACGGGGTGGGATTTTTATTTATTCCTTCAGCAGGTTTCCACATTACCCAGGAGGTACTGCTCATTTTTACCTATCTTACAATAATTATTTTTAGATTAATAAAGGCACAACCACACAACAACAAAATAATAATGTACAAACTCAGTAGGTTTATGAAACTCAACGATTTAACACTGAACTATAAAAAACATGAATATTAATTTTTACTGTGGTATTTGTGTGTTAATATAATAAAATATTATAATAAAAATGATGTTTTATAATTATTTGAATTATTTTTACATGAATTCATAACACAATAATGTATTTTACGCTTGCATTTTTATCACCATTTTCCATTTTAACGCAAGGCAAAGACTAAACAGAAATAAGAAACTATAAACACGCATAGATCTAATTAATAAGCTTAGTTTACTATAACATTCCCCGCCCATTCTTTTACAACGGCTGATAAGCGAGCCGCACAGATCTCGGGACTGAATCTGCTGTCTTCCATATACTGTGGTACAAGCCCAACTTTGTGGGCATCAATGTCTACAAAAATTCGGGTGCCGGCGGCACCGTGCAGCGGTGGAGAGCATCTTGTTGTATCGGCAATGTGTGACGTATTAGCTATGCAATTGAACAAAATTTGTCGAGTACCACTTCTGCCTTCCTCTCTTTTGTGAAAATACTATTTATTTATTTAAACATGATATATAATCTGTGCTTTAAATGTATTGTTGACAATTCTTAAATTCACGCAATGCTATCGAAGTCCACCATACTTCCCGATACTTCTTTAGCGTATTATAATGTTTACATATTTTTCTACTCCTACTGCATATTATTGACATTATTTGGGTTTTTTTGTAAATAATGCTAACCAATATAACCGCCCGGCCTAACAACAGTAATATAACAAATGTCAGATTTTTTTATATATACGAGGGGTGACTATAATCATAGTCGCCCCTCATATAAAGAAATCTGATATTTCTTAACCTTACTTTTTCCCAATTTAAAATCAAATTGGTTCAAATAACAGTGAATATTGAAATCAGACAACCACTAATGCCTAACAACGTGAATTATGAGTTCAATATTCCCGTTGTTGGGCCGGGCGGTTATTATATAATATCGATTACCATTATTTAAGAAAAAAACCCAAATAATGTCAATAATATGCAATAGGAGTAGAAAAATATGAAAATTACTTAATTGGAGTGGAAAAAGCATAGTATTACACTCGAAATACTGCGCATTATTTATTCAGATGATTTACGTCTCTCGCCTGACTGCTCGAGATGCAAACCTCATCCTTGTGAGTAATTGCCTGCATTATCTCTCGTATAATAATCTACTATTATTTACCACAACAAAATATTTTTTAAAATCACCAAAAAATTTTATTTTGAAAAAGATTGTATCAAATGCATACCAAATCCACCGGATCTTTTAAAAAATCACCTCTCAATACTGCCTATACCTTTAAGGTTACATCGAAACCATAGATGAGAAGTATTTATTTTAATTTAGGCAATGACTAGTACAAATTTGTTTTTATTGTTATATTTTATATTTAAATTTGTCAGATTGGCAACAAAATACTAATAGTTACTTGTACTTGTACTACAAAGTAATTTAGATTATATGTAGTTATGTCAATAATTTAGATAATCTCCTTTCACTTATTTGTCCTGTTAGTTCTATATACAGTCCTTTAATTTTGTTTAAAAATATAAATCTACTAGAACTGACATTTTTACCAAATTGTAATGTCATATAAGTGTGATTGTTTACGGTATATTAAATTTGACTAATGTTTCAAAAGAAATTATAAGTTTTTCTTTATAAATGGCCGATCAAAATACAAAAGAGGAAAGTGACAGTTCGGGATGGTCTTCAGAAAATGAAAAACAAGATGTTCCTGAAACAGAAGCACCTTCAACAAAAGGAAAGCAGAATAAAGGCGCTAGTAAAACTGGTTTAACCAATAAAGGAAAGAAGAAAAAGCCAAAAGTTATTTTAGTCTGTTTAACAAACTGTCGATATGATGTTATTAGAAGAACAGCCCAAAAATTTCAGTTTAAAGAAGTGGGAGAAGGGGAAACATGGAATATGTATTGGACTGATTTGTCTATTACAATTGAACGATGCAAAGACATGAAACGATATCAAAAAATAAATCATTTTCCGGGAATGTTAGAAATTTGCAGAAAAGACTTGCTGGCGAGAAATCTTAATAGAATGTTAAGGCTGTATCCTAAAGAGTACAATTTTTTCCCAAAGACGTGGTGCTTTCCAGCAGATTTGGGAGAAGCCCTTACTTACAGCCGATTACGTAAAAATAAAACATTTATTTTAAAACCCGATACTGGTAGTCAGGGCAGAGGAATTGTAATAACAAAATCCTTAAAAGATGTCCGGCCTTATGATAAAGGTATATGTCAAGTTTACCTTACCAGGCCGTATTTAATTGATGGGTATAAATTTGATTTAAGAGTTTACGTTCTGATAACTTCATGCGAACCTTTAAGAGTTTATATTTACAATGAAGGATTGGTAAGATTTGCAACAAGTCGCTACAAAGAACCAAATGGAGTAAACGTTACAAATGTTTTTATGCACTTGACAAATTATGCAGTTAACAAACACAGTAGAACATATAATCAAGACACGGAAGGGGGCAGTAAAAGACGACTTTCCTGGTTGAACGGATACCTACGCTCTTTAAAACATGACGTCGACAATTTATGGTATAGAATCGACGATGTAATTATTAAGACCATCATCAGTTCATGGCCGGTTCTGAGACACAGTTACGCAGCCTGTTTTCCTAACCATGATATAATGCCAGCTTGTTGCGAGTTATTGGGAGTCGATATAATACTCGACAGAAAATTAAACCCTCAAATTTTAGAAGTAAACCACTCTCCCAGTTTTCATACAGATACCACTTTAGATTCTGATGTAAAAGAAAATCTATTAAGCGATATGTTTGCAATGATGAACCTAAACTTTTGCGATAAGCGTCGGATTATTCGTGAAGATAGAAAACGCGTAAGAGATAGATTACTTCATGGGACTGTAAAAGAAACTAATAATTCAACCGACGTTAAAAGTTTTACGGAGTACTACAAATTAGAGCATCAAAACCGTGGTGGGTTTCGCTTAGTCTATCCATGTGTTTCGTCAGAGCATACCTATAAAAAATTCTTTGAGCAGGGTCAATGTTCATTATATAATGATACCGCTGCTAGTAGAGCCAGGGAAGCCGCCCAAAACGCAATGCGGGACGAGATGGTGCTAAAAGCCAAATTGGAAGCAGCGAAGCGTATTAACATGCAGAAACTTCCCAAACCTATCGATTTTAAAAGTCGTTCTGAAACCAGATCTTTGGCACCTTCATTATCAATGAGCAGTAGATTTAGCAGAAACTCTTTTGAGCCCCAAATGATTGTTGAAGCAGAAGAAAGGGAGCGTATTCAAAGGCTTGCTCAACGAGAATATCTAATAAGAAGCAATGGTTTACTTGAACATGTGTACTTTTCAATGAAAAAAAACGGTATTTTAAGACCCCAAGACGAAAAAAAGTTTGCTATCTTTGAGAAAATCCGTAGCTCAGGAGAACCTCTACCTGTAAAAACTGGTAAACCAGTAATATCTGATATGCTTGAAGGAATTCGAAATGGGTCAGGTGAATTTAAATAATTTGTCTCTTGTAGTTAATAAAGTTTTAATATGAGAAAACATTGTTTACACTTTTAATAAAGGGTTTTTCAATAAGAGTTATGTTTTCCTTATCATATATATAGGTTAGGGTGTCCCAAAAAAAAAGAATATATTTTTTTTCTTGTCTCTTGTAAAAATATGTTAGTTTATCATGCTGTAAGAGCCCTTTCAAAATATCAGCTCGATTAAAAATTTTGTAGGGGTCGCTCAAGATTTTTAAAAATTTTCAAAATCGTCAAAAATTGAATTTTTGTTTTATTTTAATTCTTTTTCTCGTCTCGATATTACTTTTTAGGTTGAAAATAATAAAAATTCTGTAAATTTCAAATCAATATTGGTCTAAAGGTCGCTAAAAGTTGTTGATATTTATATTCAGAGGTCGCTCGAAAACATTCAAAATACTCTACTTTGGAAGTTAAAAAAATCTTGAGCGACCTTTAGAAATTAAAATATCGATTTGAAATTTTCAGAATCATTATTATTTTTAAATTAAAAAACAATATCGGAACGAGAAAAAAATTAAAATTAAAAAAAAAATCCAATTTTTGACGATTTTGGTAATTTTTAAAAATCTTGAGCGACCCCTAAAAATTTTTTAATGCTGCTGATCTTTTGACAGGGCTCTTAAAACATGACAAAACAACATATTTTCACAAGAGACGAGAAGAAAAAAAATATTCTTTTTTTTTTGGGACACCCTAATATAGGTATATATATTAATAAAACAAAATCAAAATATTTTTTTATTTTAAATAATAAACAATACAATTAGGTTACAAAAAGAACACCATTTAAATGGCCGCCTTTGATCCTCAAACATAGCCGAACATGTTAAGTCCAATTTTAGATAAATAATTTGTTGAATTTGGTGTGCAATATTTAATTTTAATGCCTTAACTGTCACTGGTTTACGAGGGGTAAACCACTGATTTTTTAAAATTAAAAATTGCTTACGAATTAACGGCTAAGGATAACAATAACAAGGGTAGTCATGTACAACGCGCCGCTAAGCACTGATTAAGCACCGATAAAGCAAGTTTTCCTTATTGATAACGACTGATAAGGAAAAAAATCTCAACACAACGTCCACTAACATTGAATGTTGGTCTCTAAGATTTTAAAGTGGTTTACCCCTCGCTGGTTTATTAGCATAGACCAATGACTTTAAATAACCCCACAAGAAAAAGTCCAGAAGGCTATTCTATATCTGAATTTCTTGATATATTTGATTTTCCGCACTTTTCACGTAATACATCAATTATGACACGGGCTGCATGGCACGCCGTCTTGTTAATAGAACATATTCGTTAAATCAATATTTTTTTATTTAGGTCATACAAATTTCGTTAACATTGATCTGTATCGCTTACCATTAACAGTAACGGCAACTCCTAGTTAATTTAAAAAAAAATAAGGTCTGATAATGTATACCACAACCACACCAAACTGTCACTTTTGCGAAATGTTAAGGTTCCTTAGATTGGCATTGTGGTAACGATAATTGCCATTTTTGGTAATGACAATTTTGTTTATTTACCAATCCAGAAATATGAAAATGAGGTTTATCGAAAAATATGATATTCTTCGTAAAATCAGCATCATGTTCAAGTTTTTCCAGAGAAAAGGAAAATGAATTGATAAATGTGGGTCTTCATCAACACTTGCACGAATGGCAGCAACTATCTCGTTACTTGGACCGAATCTTCATCCCACGGGCACGCAAACATTTTGTAAACTACCCTAGTAGCACAAAGATATTGGCCCAATATTCGTTTGATGATATTGGGCCAAAATATCTTTCGTCAGATTTTTTCTAGCATTGTCCAGTATTGAAAACCAACATTGGCCTGAAGTTGTTTGACATTATATAACCGATATTGGAAATCCGCATTGGCCCGAAGTTGTTTTACATTATACAAGGTGTCCCTAAACTTAGTGGCATAAATTTGGGAGCAGATTAAGCAAGTCAAAATAAGACGAAAATCTAAATAAATATTTTTCCTAATTAGGTATGTTTAAAAGATACAGGGTGATAAAGTTTACTTATCATATCAGTTTTTTTAATATAACTTCCACTATGGTAGACGTGGAAAGGTGATATTTTGAGAACAGTCACTTACTACCAAAATACATATTCACACATAATAACAATTGTTCGAGTGAACGCAGTGTCGTAGAAACAGGGGTTGCTTAAGCTTTAGTTATAATATTTTTCTGGCCTTATAAATGCACAACTTTTCCACCATTGCACAATTTGATATTTGAGTAAGATCACGTCAAGTGGACCCCCCATTTACCTCTTGATCGTGGAATTCAAATAAATATATTTTAATATAAAGTAGTCACCATCAATAATAAAACCCTAAAACAGTTTTTTGAAATTTTCATTTTAACACCAATTTTTTTTACAATGAAAATTTTGGAGACTTTTAATTAAAAAATAGATAACAGAAAAACCGTTAGAGATATTTTAATAAAATTTTTAGGATTTATAGTTTAATATTCACATTTTGAAAAACAATTAAAAATTTTAAATTATTTATTTATTATCATATTTTTAATTAACTTTTAAATAAACAAATAAAAATTTTAATGACTTCTCCCTCAAATTATAAATTTGTTTTATTTCAGTTATATGCATTGTACACTGTAGTTAAATATTATGCAAGAAAATTCCACTGCTCGCTATTAGTTTAAACAATATGAATTTATTCCCGAGCGCGAGCGCTCTCGGTATAGCGCGCTGCCGCGCGCCGTAGACTCGGCATCCGCTCCAATCAGTATTAATAAATAATAAACTGTCGTTGTTGACAATAGAAAACCATGTTATTTAACAAATTTAATTTTTTAATGTAATAATTATAACAAATAGATATTATATCTACTGTTTTTATTGTTTTTTTTAAATTATCTTTATTTCTTTTTTATATATAAACAATAATAACAAATTAAGTTTACAAGCCATTCAAAATTTTCAACAATTTTTTTACAATGAAAATTTTGGAGAGTTTTAATTAAAAAATAGATGACAGAAAAACCGTTGGAGATATTTTAATGAAATTTTTAGGATTGAAAAATAATTCAAAATTTAAAATTTTTAAGAAAAAATATAAAAAAGTAACATGCTGAGGGAAAATTTATGTTTCATTTAATTATTTGTTAATGATTATAGTCTTTATATATAAATATATACAAATATTATATCTATTTGTTATAAATTACATTAAAAAAAATATATTTTTTTTTACATTGTTTCTTATTGTAAAAGACAGTTTATTTTCTTTAAATACTAATTGGAGCGGTGGTCGTGTCTACGGCGCGCGGCATGCCGCGGCAGCGCGCTGAACCGACAGCGATCGCGCTCGGGGATAAATTAATTCATATTGTTTAAACTAATAGCGGGCAGTGAAATTTTCTTGCAGAATATTTAACTTAAGTGTACAATGCATGTAACTGAAAAAAACAAATTTATAATTTGAGGAAAAAGCCATTAAAATTTTCATTTGTTTTTTTAAAAGTTAATTAAAAATATCTCCAACGGTTTTTCTGTCATCTATTTTTTAATTAAAGCTCTCCAAAATTTACATTGTAAAAAAATTGTTGAAAATTTTGAATGGCTTGTAAACTTAATTTGTTATTATTGTTTATATATAAAAAAGAAATAAAGATAATTTAAAAAAACAATAAAAACAGTAGATATAATATCTATTTGTTATAATTATTACATTAAAAAAATTAAATTTGTTAAATAACATGGTTTTCTATTGTCAACAACGACAGTTTATTATTTATTAATACTGATTGGAGCGGATTTTCTGTCACCTATTTTTTAATTAAAACTCTCCAAAATTTTCATTGTAAAAAAAATGTTGAAAATTGTGAATGGCTTGTAAACTTAATTTGTTATTATTGTTTATATATAAAAAAGAAATAAAGATAATTTAAAAAAACAATAAAAACAGTAGATATAATATCTATTTGTTATAATTATTACATTAAAAAAATTAAATTTGTTAAATAACATGGTTTTCTATTGTCAACAACGACAGTTTATTATTTATTAATACTGATTGGAGCGGATTTTCTGTCATCTATTTTTAAATTAAAACTCTCCAAAATTTTCATTGTAACAAAATTGTTGAAAATGGTGAATGGCTTGTAAACTTAATTTGTTATTATTGTTTATATATAAAAAAGAAATAAAGATAATTTAAAAAAACAATAAAAACAGTAGATATAATATCTATTTGTTATAATTATTACATTAAAAAAATTAAATTTGTTAAATAACATGGTTTTCCATTGTCAACAACGACAGTTTATTATTTATTAATACTGATTGGAGCGGATGCCGAGTCTACGGCGCGCGGCAGCGCGCTATACCGAGAGCGCTCGCGCTCGGGAATAAATTCATATTGTTTAAACTAATAGCGAGCAGTGGAATTTTCTTGCAGAATATTTAACTACAGTGTACAATGCATACAACTGAAATAAAACAAATTTATAATTTGAGGGAGAAGTCATTAAAATTTTTATTTGTTTATTTAAAAGTTAATTAAAAATATGATAATAAATAAATAATTTAAAATTTTTAATTGTTTTTCAAAATGTGAATATTAAACAATAAATCCTGAAAATTTTATTAAAATATCTCTAACGGTTTTTCTGTTATCTATTTTTTAATTAAAAGTCTCCAAAATTTTCATTGTAAAAAAAATTGGTGTTAAAATGAAAATTTCAAAAAACTGTTTTAGGGTTTTATTATTGATGGTGACTACTTTATATTAAACTATATTTATTTGAATTCCACGATCAAGAGGTAAATGGGGGGTCCACTTGACGTGATCTTCTTACTCATTTGAAAAATATTAAAATCGGCCCACCCTATTATACAAGGTGTCCCTAAACTTAGTGGCATAAATTTAGGAGCAGATTAAGCAAGTCAAAATAAGACGAAAATCTAAATAAATATTTTTCCTAATTAGGTATGTTTAAAAGATACAGGGTGATAAAGTTTACTTATCATATCAGTTTTTTTAATATAACTTCCACTATGGTAGACGTGGAAAGGTGATATTTTGAGAACAGTCACTTACTACCAAAATACATATTCACACATAATAACAATTGTTCGAGTGAACGCAGTGTCGTAGAAACAGGGGTTGCTTAAGCTTATTGTCCCATACAAACTTTGAGGTTAGGTTTTTATACCATTTGATGCATTTTTTCGATTACTCAGTTCGTCTACTATTAAAAAGGTATACCTCTCAAACTTCGATAAAATAAACCGTTTCCGAGATATCCAAGATTACAATAATTGTTATATCGCATTAAAGGACTAAAGGGTATATGATAACAAATGTTTTAATTGAAAAAACTACAATTTTTTTAATGTGACGGTCAGGGCAAAAAGTCTCGAGGCTCATGGAATGCCGTTTTTTAGTTTTTTCAATTAAAAAATAAAATTTGTTATCATATACCTTTTAATCCTTTTAAATAATGCGATATAACAATTATTGTAATCTCGAATATCTCGGAAACGGTTTATTTTATCGAAGTTTGAGAGGTACACCTTTTTAATGGTAGACGAACTGTGTAATCGAAAAATTGTATCAAATGTTATAAAATTCTAACCTCAAAGTTTGTATGGGACAATAAGCTTAAAGCAACCCCCGTTTCTACGACACTGTGTTCACTCAAACATTTGAAATTATGTGTGAATATGTGTTTTGGTAGTAAGTGACTGTTCGCAAAATATCACGTTTCCAAGACTACCAGAGTAGAAGTTATATTAAAAAAACTGATATGATATGTAACACTTTATCACCCTGTATCTTGGAAACATAAGTAATTAGGAAAAATATTTATTTAGGTTTTCGTCTTATTTTGACTTGCTTAATCTGCTCCTAAATTTATGCCACTAAGTTTAGGGACACCTTGTATAATAGGGTGGGCCGATTTTAATATTTTTCAAATATCAAATTGTGCAATGGTGGAAAAGTTGTGCATTTATAAGGCCAGAAAAATATTATAAGAGTTTTTTTTTTAATTTTAATTTCTTAAACTGCCGCAAGGCCTTGAAAGATCTTAATGTAATTTAGTATCGTTATAAATACGAAAAAAATTATCTGAGAGAAAATAGGGTTAAAAAAAGTTTTGAATTATAAATATTTATTAAAAAAACAAAAATAAAAATGAATTTATCATCAACACAAATTTAATTCAATTTATAATCCTGTTTTACCTGCCATTTTTCACAAACACCCAAAAACCACAAACAGATACTACTTGTAAAAATTTCTTTTATTCAACTAATTGACGAAGTTAAAATATTATAATTTATATAAACAGTGAAGCCAACTGTCAACTGTCCTACGTCAAACACGAAAATCTTAAAAAATATTTATTCTCCATTTTACGCCGTCTCTCCAATAATTGAAATTATTGCAAAATTTAAAATTTACAGTTTGACTTCATACAGTTCAAAACATTAAAAAAGAAAAAAATATTAAAGGAAAATAGTTTACTTCCCTATTTCACAACTTTTCCGCTTATGAATAATTTTAATTTTTTTTTAAATTACTTTTAAATTTTTAGAGGCGTTGCGGCAGTTCAAAACATATAGATATCAAAAAAAATATTTTGCAAAAAATGTTTACTTTCCTATTTCACACTTTTTCTTAAATGCAGAATTTAATATTTTTAAATTTTAGAAGTTAAATATAAAATCGGCCCACCCTATTATATAACCGATATTGAAAATACGCATTGGACCAATATTCGTTTGATGATATTGGGCCAAAATATCTTTCGTTAAATTTTATATATATATAACATCAAGCGTGCGTAAGCAGCGCTGAGATGTATACAGCAACCATGTTTGTTTATAACTTTGTTAATAAGTTTTATTTTTATAATTTTGTGTAGCAGTTATGTTTAATATTGGCCATCTTACCTATTAAGTAAATAAAATTAATATTTTTAATTAATTAATATTTTTATCCCATTCTGGGACATTAAGGCTAGTCCAAGGACATCCTTAAATGACATCCCCGGGATATCTCAAAAGCTCGTCCTTATAGGATCATCCCAGTCTGTGACATAAGGCTGGTCCAAGGACGTCCTGAGGATATTTGTGCTTGCTGGGATTGGCAATAATATATTGGATAAACATTTTTCGCCAATATAGGACCAACTTTGGATAAAAATTGGTAATAAAAAAAATTAATAACCAATTTAGGCAAATATAAAGCCAACCTTTTGTAAACATTGGTAGGGGAGAGTGGGGAGGGTCTGGACACTGGGAGACAATGGACACTTTCAAATTTCGCGGTTCCAGTAAAAATTTCAGGTTGGTACTACTATTAAAGATTGTCAAGTTGGTAATGTATCAAATAGTGGTAGTGGAATAAGTTTGAGTAGCTGTAGAATAGGTAAGTGGAAAAGTTTGTTTTGAGTTTTTTCATGTAATATTTTACTTTCCCCTTGTAAGCTTTTCTGCCCAGACCGTTGTAGATAAATAATTTAATGTTACTACATATTAAAGCATGTATAAAGCATGGAACTTTTGTTATATCCTTACTTTATTCCGTTGCTATATTTTGAAATTATAAACTTTTTTTTGTTCCACATCATGTAGGGAGAGTTGTCTAGAGTCTTCCTCTATTGTCCAAACATCGTCCCGGCACTTCGTTAGCAGAATATTGCAAAAATTAAACCGAGGATATACAGTCAAATTTCTTAAAAGGCAGTTTTCATCATACAGATTTAAAGAAACAGATGAAGATGAAGCTTTGGTGGATTTTAAGGACGTGGTATTGCAACCATGGTTCATCCCCCCACTGACGGAGTTCGATTTCATAACATGATTTACTTTAATTTTGATTTGTCGCAATTTAGTATTACAATATATACAAGTATAAGTTTTGCACTGATTTTTTTCAATAAAATTCCTAAATTTATAATATTATAGTGTCCAAATCTCCCCGTATATGGGGTGACTTTGGACAGATGACCAAAAATTTTCCGATTTGCCGATTATGACTACCATAAATTGGAAGAAGTGCACGATATGCGCAATCTAAGAACGAATATTTTGTAAAAAAAATAATTTCCATGATTAAATTGCAAAACTCTGTTTTTGCAAATTTTCAAAAATATATATATTTTTTACTCCTATTGCATAATTTTGGTGTTTTTCCGTGAATATTGTAATATAAATTTCCTAACAACGCGAATAATAAACTCAGTATTCACGTTGTTAGGCATCAGTGATTGTCCGATTTCAGTGTTCACTGTGATTTGAACCAATCGAGTTTTAAATTGGAAGAAGGCGACTATAATAACATTTAAAATTGGTAAAAAGTAAGGTTAACCATTTGACAGATGTCAGATTTTATTTATTTAATATTAAAAATCATTTAATTATCTACTTATTGGAGTAGATAAAGTATATAATACTCGAGATTATGGACAATATTCACTCGGATTATTTAGGTCTTTCGTCTAGCGACTCGAGACGTAAACCTCATCCTCGTGAATATTAGCATTATCTCTCGTATAATAATAAACTATTATCCTATTTATGTACATTACTGCACTGCATACAGCATACCTAAGTAAACCAGATGTATAAGTTAGTATTTTTAGAATAAAATACATTTAAAAACTTAACGCAGATGCAAAACTGGGTATTTGTTTCTTCCTGTCGGATGCAAAACTCGGTATTTGCTGTTGCTACTATACGCATTACGTGACGAAATAACAATCACCTGTTAAATTGTTATTTTTTGGTATTTGCACTTTTCACTTGCAAAACTTTGAACGAGGAAGATGCAAATTATTTACTAAAATACCTAATTTTAAAGGTTTTTTTTTTTAACTTTTTTGAATAAAAATGATGCAAAAGCACGTCTATACAATTTTTGATTTTTTTTTTCAAAAATGATCTTATCAGCGGTTTTTTATGTTTTTCTTAAAATCACTTATCCTGCAAATACAGAGTTGTGCATCTCATGTACTCATATAATAAGTAATTTATGTAATACAATTTTTACTGTTATAAACCGTATAAACGATAAAAATTATATTTTGTCCTTTATAACTGAAATTGAATATACTGGCATTTTACTGTCGTAGGGCAGTATTTATTTTAATTATTAAATAATTCTTACCAAACCACAAACCTAGATAAATACATAAATTTTGAATAACTAGTTCCAGCTAACGGATTTCAATGACATTGCCAAGGAATTAAACATATACATGCGATGCTTTAAATTATTTTTGTTAGTTTGATAGTGGAATTTGATTAACATGTTTGCTTCTTATATGTTTAGTGTGCTTTTACTGTTAGCTACAGTTAATGGAAAATTTTTACAAGGTAGGTAGGTCAATTTTCTTATACTACTCGTATATACCCCGTTAATAAAATAACTTGTTTTAATTGTCAAAATCAACTTTTAATTATAATTTACAAGTTAAAGTAAATTAACTTTAAAAACATACAAAATATGTCTATTATGACAAGCCTTATGAGTGAAAATAGTAGATTTCTAGAAAAAGCAGACGACTCAACTTTCGCAACTATAGCTAATTTTTTTAGTCGCAAACAAAATGAACTGTAAATGCGAAAGTTAGTTTCTTTAATTGTCGTTAGGTAGGTAAGACTGAATTTTTGGTTAGGCGTTAACCATGATTAATTATCTATGGCGTTAACTTTACTATGCTTCGCTCAAGGATTTATAAAGGATGTATAAAATATTTACGATTTTTTCTTTCAAAAGGCATCAAAAGTCGAATTTCAGTTGCGATTGTCATGAAACAGAGTAGGTATGTACATATCTCGTGAAGAAATTCGGCGATTTATTTTCAAAACTGTCCAAACGCTGTCGCTCTGGTTGGCACTTATGAACGGAGTGAGAAAAAAACGTGCGCGTGCACACCCTTCGCGTAGGTCACCGCAGATATAAAAATTAGTTTAATCGATGAAAAACGTGACATACTTGGTTGTGAATTAGCTAAGTAATTTTTGAAACCAAAATTGATTGTTGAAACAGCAGAACCAATACAGTTTTATATTGCGTTGTATGTAAGTCCACATTGGTCTCAGCCTGAGACTCTTTAGGTAGTATACTTAACAAAACTAGGGTGTTATCAGGTTGGACTTATGGTATTAAGAAAACAAGCTTGCCAACTGATAATACCTAGGTAAGTATTATCAATTGGCGAACGAATTTTAGAGAGTCCGTGACAAAACTTACTGTTGGTAGGTATATAAAGGGTGTCTCAAAAGTAACGCAAGATTTGAATTAAATAGAAAACACAGTTTTTAGTCTTTAAATTGTTATTTTTTTATTGAATCACAAAGTACATAGGATATGGAATAACACATCGGGCAAATGGCCTCCACGGCTTTGCTGGCACATGCGCTTTCTTTTGTCGAAATTTCCCATTACCATTCTGCATAAATGTGGTTGAATTTTAATTTTCACCTTGATGGCTTTGTTAATCGCCAGAATTGCCGTTTTTGGGATTAGGAGACCCAGATGTGATTGTCGAAAAACAAATGCTTCCACAACGTGTCACTGTTTGGTGCGGATTTTGGGCTGGAGGCATCATTGGACCATACTTTTTCGAAAGAGGCTAGTCAAGCAGTCAAAATTGCGCATGTTCCAGCAAAGCTGTGGAGGCTATTTGCCCAATGTGTTATTCCATAAATAACCCTATCCTATGTACTTTGTGATTCAATAAAAAAATAACAATCTAAAGGCTAAAAACTGTGTTTACTATTTAATTCAAATCTTGCGTTACTTTTGAGACACCCTTTATAAGTAATTTGCCTTTTAATTTAAAAGTTTCATTGTTTCTGCTTAATATTATACAAGTATATATATTTTTTTATCTTATAATTTTTATAATTTTCGCTTTCTAATACTGGACAATGTCCAGTTGACATTTCCTTTTATGTTTTTATTGAGTGTTTTTATTTTAAAATACATTTTGCATCTAAAAAAGATTTTTTTTTGGTTCATCAGATAAATTTTGATAAATTATTTAAATTTTGAATATAGTTTTTTAAATTAGTAAACCATTGTTAATATTATTAAAAGATATTTACCACATTTAAAAACACTGTTTACAGATTAACTAAACCAAAACTCATATTAGGCACGTGCAGCGACAACGGAGACGGGCCCAGCTAGTTGAGAGTTAGTGAGGGCGCCACAATGAGATCTCGTACCTTTGAAATTCAAAAGTACGAGATCTCATTCAAAGTTTGAATAAAAACCCTCAGGAAGGAGTATATGATAGAAAATAGCTGACCGCACAGGGAGCTAACCAATTGGTCGCCACAAATGGCGGACTATTATTTTCGCCAGCTATAACGTTTAATTCTTTGCAAGGTTTAATTATTATTAAACAACAAAAACGCATAGAACAAACCGTAAGCGCTATTAAACTACAAAAAACGCTATTAAACAAACCAAAAACGCTCAAACAGGTAAATAAACAAACCCAAACTTTCATGTCAGAAAAAATAACTCATAATCGGACTCCTAAGATGGCGACTTCCGTCGTAAATTTATTATATTAACGAGATTCGGCAGGGTCCTTCCTGAGGTTTTTTATTCAAAGTCTAGTACTATCTAAACTTCCAAGGGCTTGTTCGTCGTACAAAAATCGTATTTTTCATAAGACGTATTTTTTGCTAAATATCTTGGTAAATACGCAAAATTGCTTCAAAAAATAAAATTTAATTTTTGTTTCGCTCTTACCCTGGTTTTTATTTATAAGCCTTATGCTATTATTGTATAACAAAATATATTTCACACAAAACAATAATTCTTTACGGATGCAATGTATGTACAGTTGTATTCAATAAAAAAGCGTACAAGAATTAGAAAGAGAGAAAACTGTCAAAATAATATTATTGCTTAAAACCGGCTTATCACTGACATAAGTCATTAAAATAATTATTATAGGTTATAAAGAGCATTGACGTCGTAGGTTAATTAAATAATATTACAAAAATTATTACCTTTTAATAATGAAAAAAACAAACATTAAAAAAAATTTAATATTTAGTCATGCATCCCTGTATTTCTATTACTTGAGCCAATCTATTTGGGATGAACTGAATTAAATTTAATACAATATTTGGATTAATATCTTCCCAGCAGTATAGTAGGTATAGTTTCCCATAAATCCTCAATTATCTCAAAAAAGCAGCATCCTGTTCAGGGGTGGACATTTTGGGACGACTTGAACCAACTTTTTGGTTTAGTAAATCTTCCTGTTCCCAGCGTTGCTTAATTTTTAATATAGATTTTTTATTTCTATTATACCACAGTACGAATTGACCATTCTTCTTCGATTCTTGATACTATTTGAGCCTTTTTAACTGACGAGGCATTTTTATTCTCTACTGTCAGTTATTGTGACTTAAGTCAGTGGAAAGCCGGTTTTACGCAATAATGTTGACAGTTTTCTCTCATTCTAATTCTTGTACGCTTTTTTAATGAATACAACTGTACATCAGGTTGCTTCAAAAAATAAATTTAATTTTTTTTTCGCTCTTACCCTCTTAAATGTTTCTATTTAATATATAAAAAATCCTCACCAAATATAGGCGTTCCAACTCAACTCTAAGAGGTCGCTGTTTTTATTTTAGTTTCCCATTTAATTAACATGTGAAAAAATAATTTTATGTTTGGAATTTTATACCTCTATATCAAAGTAGTTTCTTATATAAAATGTAAGGCTCTACAAAAAAGCTTTCTTATTATTTTTCGATAAATTGATTTCTTCTAGAGTTATTCGAGGACAAAGTTTGATTAATATCAAATTTTATGTTTTTTTACTTATCCCTGCTATTTTAAGTACCTAGTTTAAATTAAACTTCGGTTAATTTATTTCAATGACAATATTTTTTACAATATTTTTTCACCACATAGGTAATGGAATAATTCAAAAAATTTATTAGCAACAAATTATGCATTTTAATCAATAGCGTGAGCATGATACTAAATAATGTAGTATCATGAGCGTGAGCTTACTGGTGCCTCATTAGATAAATTTATTTTAAGTAATTTTAAATTTTTTTTATTATCTTACATGTTTATTGAATTTTGGTTATTTTCCTTTATACATATTTTTAATACGTTAACTTTTTTTCAGACACCTGCTTGACGCCTAATTCCGAAAGGGGTATTTGCATTAATTTGCAGGAATGCCCTCCAATTTTCGCTTTGTCTAATGATTTTACAAATCAAATAACCTTGGAAATTCTGAAATTTCTAATTGGATCACAATGCGGATTTGTCAAGTCTAATGCCAAAGTTTGTTGCCCTCTGAGCGAATTAAATAAAGAAGACATTTCGAACCAAGAATCCGTTGCAAGCAACAGTTTTGTATTAACGCAGTAGATTTTTACTTTTTATGTAGATTTAAAAAGTAAAAGATATTTAAATATGTGTGACATATTATACTTGATAAGTTATTGATAAATAAGTACGATGCAATCAATGCGTTGTAAGTAATAGTTTTAGGTAATAAAATTGACAAAAAATGTTGTTTTTTTAAATCCCCATAATTAAATAAGAATTACAAAGAAACCTCCTTAAATAAGCAGGAAGGGAATAGGGACATTGGCCAAGCAGGGATTTCTAACGTAGCTTAAATGGTTCTATCTAGATTTTATTTTACGGAACTAAAATATGTTATGGATAATTTCAAATAAAAAATATGCCATTACACAAAAATGTATGAGAATCCAAATTTTTTAATTTTTAAAACTCTTCTAGACTGTTTAAATTAAAGTAAGATAGCATCTCTTAACACAAAAATATAAAAAAACTTTCGATGACATCGAAAGTTTTTTTAAATTTGTGTGTTAAAATAAATAAAATAAAATTTAGATTTTTTGTACATCGAATCGATGTACAAAAAATCTAAATTTTGTCTTTTTAAAGAATATAAAATATGTGTAGGCGTAAGTAAATATTTTTTATTAAAACAATTTTACTATGAAATATACATATATGTATATAGTAATCAAGTCGTACAAAATAGTTATTTGTTTTACAATTGTTAAACAGCGACTTTTTCACGCGAGTGTTTAATTTGCTCAAAATGTTTTTTCTACAACCCTAATACAAAATAACCTAAAAACGTGTTTGACAGCTGTTAAAATTACTTTCATCTTATTATTTTAATTTTTAAGATATAAGTTTCCTAAACTCAATAAACTTACCTTCTCAATTTAAATAGACGCACTATTTATTGTATAAACACAATTAATTGTGTTATAAATGATATTTGAGCTGTTGTACGTCTGAATGTCAAACGATACTGTCAATTTTTTTCACACATACCTGTTACTTTTCACACAGAAATGTCACTTTACATTCGAGTTTTGCCTTGCCAATAAAAAGCTTTATTTTTTAAAGCAAGGATGCCATTACGAAATGTGACTTACATGGTGGCCGTAGCAAAATATCTTAATTAACCTTGATCTACAATGTTCTTGAATAAATTAATTTTATAATCTTGTTTCAAAACTAAAAATTTAAATTTCGGGTAGATTACCCATAACACATCCTCTTCACTTTCAATGTAAAAATCAAATACTTGGGCATTGCCGGCGAATTTAAAAGATCAGCGAGAAGAAACTGTTTTATAATTTTGTATTTTTCTATTAACACGTTAACTGCCAAGTCGGTCCCAGGGGACCGCTAATACTTTTTCCATCCAGGCCACGGCGGTCCCTGTGGACCGACTGTCAATTTTTTGTTTAACATGATTTTGTTTAACATGATTTTTTGGCCAGCGCGCTGCAGCGGACCGCTCGTATAAGGTATTTTAAAGCATGCATAGGACCGCTTGGCCCTGATGGCTGACGAAGATACAAGAGTTTTTTAATTATTTATTTTTTAATCTGTATTTTGAGGATTTTATTTTTTAAAAGGATACAAGTAAATACAACAATAATAACGCCGTGTTTCACAAGAACGGTAGTTTATTTTGACGATCGTATGATTTTTGAAGGGGTAAGAAGCAAAAGGATACAAGTGAAAAAAAGAAAAGTGGAGTTTATGATATATACAAAAATCTGGATACTTGTTTTAATGTTTGCATTATTGCAGAACTCGTACAATTTTCACGTCATGATAAAAAAAATAAAACGCCATAATCTCAGCTTGTCAATGTGTATTTAAAAGATCACTGTTATTGAAACATGTACGATAATGGGCGTTTTAAAGGTGGGAGTAAAAATAGCTATTTACATACCATGGAAGGAAAATAGTGCTTTTCCTCCCGGGAATAGTTTGATGCCCGACGCGAAGCGAAGGGCATTAAATATTCAAGGGAGGAAACGCATTTTCCTCCTGAGGTACCTATGTATGTATATTAGGGTGTCCGTTATTTACCAACTTGTTTTTTTTGTTATCAGCGCCCCCCAAATTTTTAGTTTATGACCTAAAAAAAATTATTAAAAAAATTATAAAAAAAAATATTCATATTAAACCCTGCCACAAAGACGATACATTTTCCATTTAAATAACATGGGGTTTCGGCAAGTTTTACATTTAATTTTTTTTCTCCCGAGCAAATTAATATACAGCAATAACATACACATATTTTTATACAAAATTGAACGCTGTACAAAAAAGCTTTTCTATGATTTTTTTATAAATTCACTGATTTAAAAGTTATTTAAGGTTAAAGTTAAACTTAAAGTAATTTTTTTGATTTTTTTACTTAGACTGCAAAAATATAATAATATATATATTATACAATAAAAATTAATTGTTTATTTTTTAAAATATGAGATTTTATTGTAATATTGAAAAAATAAAAATTATTGAAAAGAGATAAGTAAAAATTATTGACAAGAGATTTCGATAAATTCAATTTTTTTTATTACATTAAACGAATCTGGTACTAGTTTTACTCAATTTTAGTACGATTACTTTTTTACATAATCTTTTTATTTCTGTGAAATTCTACAAAATTTTATAAAATATTATACAATAAAAAGTTTTTCTTCAGTACAGCTAAGGGGCCGTTCATTAATTACGTGAGTGTTTAGGGGGGGAGGGGGGTCGAGCCAAACCTCACCCAATCTCACGTGGGGGGAGGGTGGTCTCGGCAAATATCACGTAATTTTTTCTTTTCGAATGAAACAGTGTAAAATTGCGAGAAAACTGGGTTAAATTAAGTAAACAATTATAACAATTATTTTTTTTTTAATAAATCTAATGGAATCAATCACAGATTAACTTATTTATATTAAAACCATGCATTTAAAAAAATCTCACGTGAGATTAAGGGGGAGGGAGGGGGTCGAGTAAAATCTCACGACATCTCACCAAGGGGAGGGGGGGGGTCGAAAAATCGCCAAAATTGTCTCACGTAATTAATGGACGGCCCCTAATGACGTAGAAATTCTTTTAACAATTATTTTTACGACAAAATAAAATTCGTAGTAACGTATACGTTGTCTTGCTACACCAATTATCCTTTTAAAATAAGTTAAATGTATTTATCTACTTCTACTACATTGACGAGCTGTGACTTTATGGCGCTTTAGTCACGGGCTGAAATTGGTAATAAGTAGCGGCTTTTGGGAATTTTAGTCACGGGCTGAAATTAGCTTTATTATACATTAGAGAAAAGTGAGGTTAATTCCATTGACAATTGACAGATGTCAAATGTTTAACAAATATAATTGGTTTAAATTCTTCTTTGTGTTCGTCGTAGATAAAGTATACTTAGTATGCAACTCGCTGTATAAACTTATCTAGACACTCGTTTTAAATAAGCTTCGCTCGTGCCTAATAAAACTCGTAACTGAAATGGCGTTTTGTAAAATTTCACAGAAATAAAATGATTATGTAAAAAAGTAATCGTTCTACGTTTGAGTAAAACTATAGTACCAGATTCTTTTAATGTAATAAACAATTTTTAATTTATCGGAATCCCTTGTCCATAATTTTCACTTATCTCTTTTCAATAATTTTTACTTTTTCAATAATACAATAAAATCACATATTTTCAAACATTAACAATTTATTTTCATAAAAATAATGATAATTTTGCAAAATCGAAAAAATTACTATAAGTTTAACTTTAACCTTAAATAACTTTTAAACCAGTGAATTTATTGAAAAATCTTAAGAGGGGTTTTTTGTACAGCGTTTGATTTCCCATAAAAATATGTATAACTTTTTGCTGTATATTAACTTGCTTTAGAGAAAAAAAATAAATGTAAAATTTGCCGAAACCCCATGTTATTTAAACGGAAAATGTATCGTCTTTGTGGCACGGTTTAAAATGAATATTTTTTGTTATAATTTTTTTTAAAATTCCTTTTAGGTCATAAACTAAAAATTTAGGGGGCGCTGCGAACAAAAAAACCAACTTGGTAAATAACGGACACCCTAATGTATATAGTATTTTCTATTACCTTTTAACGGTTTTAAGATATTTTAAGCGTTCTAGTTCCTTTTACTAACCCGGTTTGGGGCTATAAAATTATGACAAAATATTAAGTAGGTGTTGCGTTTCCGACGTTATGTTGACAACGCTTTGTTGCTATGGTATTTTTGGTAATACAAACAGTTTTTATAAGCTGTCAGAATGTTTATCATAAATTTGAAATTCTTCCTACGTTTTGAAAATGAGTTCTAGCGAAGAAGACTTGCCGCAAGATCTTGCTAAAAAGGCAAGAATATTTGCAATTAATTTCCTTCCTTAAAAATCGAAAGAGCGATATAAAAATGAATAGTTTGTTAAAAGAATGGTTGGACAAGCGCGGAGTAAATCTTTTTCCTACAAAATCAAATAGGGCTAGACAAGGTACAAAAACCGTTGCTAATGTAAAATTGTTTAAAAAAAAGAGGGAGGAAATTTTTTTCCTCCCAGGGAGGAAAAGAGGCATTTTCCTTCCTCGCTCAGGGGTGGAAAATTAAGTTTTCTAGTACGGTAGTAGAACAAATATATTTATGCTTTCTTTATTTGACTAACTAGTTACAAAATAAACAACTATAATTACAATAGTTTCAACTTTTGGTATTAATAATTTACCAATAAAAAAGTCTATTTCAGTCTAATTAATATTTTGTTTAATCCAATCCAAGTATTCCGGTACAAAGGAAAAAAAAGAGGGTCTTGTTCCACAATTATTAAAACCGTAAGATGTAATACCAATTAAAAAGTTAACGATATTTGAACCCTGGATTTTACCCAGCATTAAAGGACCTCCGGAATCTCCATTGCATGTGTCCTTACCATCTCCGGAACCCGCGCAAATTTGTCTTTTGCTAATATTTTTGCAATCTTCAGATTTAGAAAGTTTAACACGGGCTTTCTGTTTGGTGGGACTAGAGAATCCTAAATAATAATAAAAAGAGTTATTTTATTATTTTTATTAATAAAAACAGTTTATGAGTAAAGTTTTTTTTTTATTTGATCTTTGACAACATCAAACATTTGGGAATTCGATTGGCTTATTCGAAAAGGTCTATAGTTGGCTATAAAATACAAAATAAATTATAGAATATAAATGTTTAGAATGACATACTTTAGTTGACAGACTGTCAATAACATTGTATTGTTTTTGACAATTTACAGTCGTAGATACAAATACTTTAAATCATCAAAAGCAAAAATAATAATTAAATTAAAAAGGACTAGGTCAATATTTAGGCATTTTGATTTACATATTGCTACTTACTATAAAGTGGCTAAAAGTCATAGTTTGGCGATAAAACCATCCAAGTACTTATACCCACAAAATTTGTGTTATAGGCAGATCGTACCTAGATCACTAAACTATTCTTTCTTTAGCAATATGTATGTAACTCAAAATGTCAAAAATTCTATTTGAAATTCAAATAAAAAAACATTACATGCTCAATAAATACAATAATTTTGATTTACATATTGCTACTTACTATAAAGTGGCTAAAAGTCATAGTTTGGCGATAAAACCATCCAAGTACTTATACCCACAAAATTTGTGTTATAGGCAGATCGTACCTAGATCACTAAACTATTCTTTCTTTAGCAATATGTATGTAACTCAAAATGTCAAAAATTCTATTTGAAATTCAAATAAAAAAACATTACATGCTCAATAAATACAATAATTTATAATATTAATCAAAAAATAAAACTTTTATATTTATTTTTATACTTACTTGTAGAAGTTTGCCCCCACCCAGCTATAACAAAACTTTCATTTCCTTGTAAATCTATATTTTTGTTCGGCAAACAAATTGGCTTTACATAATCTAAAAAATATTAATATTTTTATACATTTTATTATAAATTAAATTTCTATAAAAATAAATTTTAGGCTTATTTTTCATCATTTTAACAATCCTAAAAATAATTTTATAGGAATTATTATACTGCACTATACACTTAAACAATTCTTTCTTATCTTATTATCGTACTAAAGCATTCGTATTTTCCATCCGATCAATAATTCGGCATGCATTAAAATTGTCCGAGTCTTTTTTATATTAAGTCAAAAGGTTAAAAGCATATACAGAATTGTGCTCAGACCTTGTCATTAACCCTGACATTTTACTTGTAACTTTTTGACTTTAATAGTTTTAATAGGTTTAAAACGATCAGGAAATTTTAATGTATACCTCATTATCGATCGGGTGCCAAATACGTATACCGAATGTTTAAATGACAACCATATATGGTATAGGACTAGTCTAAAAATTAATTAAGTCCCGTTTGGTCGAACTAAAGATTATTTTTTTGATTTTAGGGGATAACCTACAACAACTTTGTACTATAATTTATTTCAGTCAAATGTAGGGGTCGCCAAGTTCTTGAAATTTTCAAGATCTTGTCTTGATTTCAAGACAAGATCATGACAAGAATTAATTTTAGATTACAAGACAGGACAATATCAAGATTTCTTGTCAAGAAAACAAATCTTGCAATATCTTGACTAACAATGAAATTGCTAAAACGTATTTATTTTTGAAAATGATAACATATTTTAATTTATTGAACAAATTTTTTGCTAGAACGATTCACAAAAATGTAAATTAAAAATAATAAATGATAATCCTAAACTAAACTTGCAAACTAGATTTTAAATATCAAATTTAACACATGTTTAAATCGGAATTCATAAGCCACATAAGACTTCTTATGGAGTCAACGCCTAGCCGATTTCTTGGCTTTGTTATTGTTAAATCTGCTCTTGAAAATAGCCTTTCCGCAGACAGGTAGACATTTTTGTGTCTTCACCACCAATCAAGTATATTCTCAAAATTTATAGGATAGCCTATAGGATAGCCTATAAGCTCATTTAGGTATTTTTCAGGTATTTCATCCTTCCAAGATTCTGAGTTATCATTATAAGCTTTCTTAAATAGGTAAGTTATATCTAAATCAAATTCGTTATCTTCTTTTCAAGACTCAGTGCTGGTTCTGGTATTGGATTCTGTAAATCTATCTCGGATTTATTAAAGTATCTAGCTTTAAATATTTCTTCAAATCTTTGAACTGCCTCTGATTGTAGAAGCTTTCCCCATTAAGAAGAGGAAAATGCTTCGACTTTATGTCGAGGATCCAAAATAAGAACTATACAGTATATCTAATTAGTTTTGTTATAGTGTCGCAGCTTGAATGCATTAAATTATTTGCATATCCGTAGCGTCTCCATCAACTTTATAATCAAGTTCATAAGCCCATTCCAGTTTGTCTAAAAGTAAGTTTATTTCAATTACCACCAATGGGAGTGTGCAATATTTTTCCCCTTTGAGTATTGAAGAAAGTGTTTTGAAGCGTTTCAGATACTGACAAAATTTACTGATCAGAACCCATTCTTTATCTGATATCTTACAATTATTTAGATTTTCGATGTTATCGCAAAATATAGTTAAAGCATTTTTCACACATAAAACCATATTAGCATCTCGAAAGTTGACTGCCATCTAGTAGGCACATCTAATTTTGGCATATTCATCTTACAGTTTACGGCCTCGCAAGCACTGTTAAGTTTAAGTTGCATTTGCTTTGAGTCCTTGATTTTTTTTACAAGGTATCTAATTTTACTTACAGGAGAGTTAAAATCCACATTAGTATCATTTATATCATTTTCTGCTTCGATGTCTAAACTGTTTCGATTTCGTACCACAACCTTAATAAAATCCTGGACAGCTAAGTTTAGAATAAGTGCGAAACATACAAAATGCTTTTTTGTAGTCAAGACCGGGAACTAGAGTTTCCAAAGAACGCATCATTGTAAAGTTAACAGCCGCATTATATAATGATATCAGTTGTCACACCTTAAATGCAGTCCAGCCCATCATAAGATTTTAGCACCTCAAAGAGAATGTTGGCAACAAATTTTCGGAGCCAAATGGCTCAGTAGACGTACTGTTTACTGAAGAGTCAGTGTCACTAATGGTAAAATAAGAGATAATATTAATATAATTTACTTTTTATCACCACTATTTACAAACTGGCATAAAAAATATAACAAAACAGGTACATTAGGGTGGTCCTTAATAAGGTTAATTTCAAATTTCTTTGCTCCCAGGGGCTCAAATGCTTCCAAATTAATTAAAAAAAAATTCCCTGAAAATTTGAGCTCTTAATATTAACTCTAAAATAGTGCGCATTCCAATCTAAGTTTCTTATGGAAATAACATAGGAAAAATTACTTTTGTTGTTTATAATTTTATAACTTGGGAACGAATAAATTAAAAATTATAAATCATACATATTTTTATAGAGAATTTAACGCTCTACAAAAAAGGTCTCTTATAATTTTTCCATTAGTCTATTTGTTTAAAAGTTACTCAACGTCAAAGTTTAATTTTCATATTATTATTAATATTATCAAGGCTTTTGAGGCGCCGTTTGTGTCAAAATTAAAAGTGCTAAATAAACTTATTTTGTTTTATAAATAATTAATTATATGCTTTACCAAATAATTTTTTTATAAAATTATTTTTTTATAAATTTTTTTTTTATAAAAAATTTTATAAAATAATTTTTTATAAAATAATTTTTTTATAATTTTTTTTTTGTAAAAAATTTTATAAAATAATTTTTTTATATAATAATTTTCAATTCGAATTAAAAATTATTTAATAAAAGACGACGGGCGCATTTATAAATTAATTTTTACTGCAGCCATCTCTATTTGTTTGTAGACACTCGAGTAAACCCGAGTAAACCCGAACGCCCCTCCCCAGATACAATTTTATGACGGACTGGGCTTTTGTTTGACGCAATTTGGGGAAACGATTGAAAATAATAATTTATTATTTTTATTCATTACTTCATTAATTTTTTTATTTTGAACAAGAATTCTTTATGATTAAACGTTTTTTATAAGAAAGCACTTGTTAAAAACTAAAATAAATAAATAAAATAATTCTCTTGAAAACAAATTAAAATAAATAAATCAATTCTCTTAAAACAAAACTAAAAATCAAAAAAAATAATTTTATAAAAAAGAATTAGATATTTTATAAAAAAATAATTTTATAAAAAATAATTTTATACAAAAATTATTTTTTAAAATTTTTTAGAAAAAAAAATTTAAAAAAAAATTATTTTATAAAAAAATAATTTTATACAAAAATTATTTAGTAAAGCATATAATTAATTATTTATAAAACGAAATAAGTTTATTTAGCACTTTTAATTTTGACACAAACGGCGCCTCATAAAAAAGCCTTGATAATATTAATAATAATATGAAAATTAAACTTTGGCGTTGAATAACTTTTAAACCAATAGACTAATGAAAAAATTATAAGAGACCTTTGTAGAGCGTTAAATTCTCTATAAAAATATGTATGATTTATAATTTTTAATTCATTCGTTCCCAAGATATAAAATTATAAACAACAAAAGTAATTTTTCCTATGTTATTTCCATAGGAAACTTAGATTGGAATGCGCACTATCTTAGAGTTAATATTAAGAGCTCAAATTTTCAGGGAATTTTTTTTTATCAATTTGGAAGTATTTGAGCTCCTGGGAGCAAAGAAATTTTAAAATAACCTTATTAAGGACCACCCCAAGGTACATACTACCAGTTTGTAATATTAACTTTACTTAACTAAATGGGGTAAAGAGTGCAACTGCACGACGTCATTTTCGTTCGTCAGAAAAGAAATAAAGATCGGAGAACCACCAGATTGCCGTGTTAGCACGCAACGCAATAAAAAGTTCGCTGAGGAATCACCGGTTAATCAAGAAATTTCAAGATATATGAGATGTCAAGAAAACGTCAAAACAAGATTTTTCAAAATTTCTTGATTGTTTCTCAAGACGAGACAAGAAGTTGTTTTCAAGACAAGGATTCTTGTCCTATGGACCCCTAGTCAAATGGTAAAATAAAAATATATATCTAAATATTACAATGATAATAATAGTTTCTTATGTATCAAGTTGTATAAACGCCATTTTAGATTTGGGCACGAGCGAGCTTGCGAGCGAGTGCTTAAATTAATGAGTGTCTAGAAAAGTTTATAAACGAGGTGCATACTATACTTTTTCTACGACAAATACTTATTATTATATTAAAATAATTTAAATGAAATATTTGTATGGAGCGCCATCTATAAAACAATAGGTGAATCTGTGTTACCGTCAAATTTCAAATTTTTATGTGTTATAAACACAGATTATAAAGGTTTTAAATCAAAATGTATTCCTTGAAAATGGATTAACAATAGTTTTTCACCGTAAAAGTAAAGAAAATGTTTTATGAGCACTTCCGAGCCCAAATTAAGTTATAGTTTACTGCCGACGAAATTAAAAGGTCAGTACAATGTTCATACAAACTTTTCAAATATTGGCGTTGAGGAACTATATAATACTTGTGCATTTTTGTATTGAGATAATAAAATAATTTTCATATTTAGTATTATTTTACAAGGAGGGCACTTTATTTTAACGATTGTGTGACATTTGACAACTGTCAACTAAATTAATACTAACTTCAGCCCGTGACTAAAAACTTCTTGCTAACTTCAGCCTGTGACTAAAACGCCATAAAGCCACAACTTTTCAATGTTTATTTAAAAGGTCACTTAGTGTCATGGAAACATGTACGGCAATGGGCGTTTTAAAGGTGGGAGTAGAAAAAAATTCATTAATGAACCAATGGAATGCTAGTATACCATAGTAACGCCACGGCTTACTATTAGTATAGTATAGTTATAGTAAGCTGTGGTTACGCATTTTATCAGAGCGACAGTATTTTTTGTTACCTTACACGTTATACGTCCCCAGTAGGACAAAGATATTGGCCCAATATTCGTTTGATGATATTGGGCCAAAATAGCTTTCGTCAGATTTTTTCTAGCATGGTCCAACATTGTAACCCAACATTGGCCCGAAGTTGTTTGTTCTTGGGTTATGTAGATCCTGAAGAAATCCTCTGCACTCAAACTTACTTGAACTTAGCCATTATTTGTTACTTAGCAGATCAGCCCCACTCCAATCAGTTTTTAAATTCAAATTCAAATTCATTTATTAAAAATCATTTTTTAGCTGTGTCATCACAGACGCACATCTCCAACTGATAATTGTAACCTATCGGTATATAGTTATCAAGCGTGCATAAGCAGTGGTGAGATGTATAGCAACCATATTTGTTTATAACTTTGTTAATAAGTTTTGCTTTTAGAATTTTGTGTAGCAGTTATGTTTACTATTGGCCATTTTACCTATTAATTAAGTAAATAAAATAATTATTTTTAATTAATTAATATTTTTATCCCATTCTGGGACATTAAGGCTAGTCCAAGGACATCCTTAAATGACATCCCCGGGATATCTCAAAAGGTCGACCTATGGACGTCCTTATAGGATCATCCCAGTCTGTGACATAAGGCTGGTCCAAGGACGTCCTGTTTGTTCTTGCTGGGTTTGGCAATGATATATTGTGTAAACATTTTTTCGCCAATATTTGACCAACCTTGGAAAAAAATTGGTAATACAAAATTAATTAACCAATTTACGCCAATATAAAGCCAACCTTGTCTAAACATTGGTAATTATATATTGAATTTATATTTTAAGAAAATATAGGGCCAACCTTGGACAAACATGGGCAATGATATATTGGAAAATCATTTTACGATTATATAGGGCTAATATAAGGTTAACCTTGTGCAAGCATTTTCAATGATATATTGTATAATTATTTTACTCCAATATACGGCTTACCTTGGACAACCATTGGCAATTAGATATTGAATCATTGTACAATACAATACAATACCAATATGGGGCCAACCTAGCATAAACATTGACTATGATATATTGGATAATCATTTTACGGCAATATAGGGCCAACCTTGGATAAACATTTTTAATGATATATTGGCGTAAAATGATATGCCAACCTTGTATAACCGTTGAAATGATATATTTAATTATTATTTTATGCCAATATAAAGCCAACATCGGCTAAATAAATTCAATATTGGATCAATATTTTGTGCTACTGGGGGTTACACCTTACACGTTACTAAGGATTTTTACGCTTTTCTTAACTTGTTGACATTTAAATTCTGTTTGTTATTTAATTAAAATAATGAATTCTAAAACTCTATATTATAGTCTATTAAAGTATTTAAATACTTGTATTTTTATTAAAGCTTTAATGCCGAAAAACAATATTTGTTTAGTTTGTTTTTTTAAACATGCGGGATGTACAAAGAACGGACTATGTATATAGGACGGCTGTAGGTACTCGATACAGTTGTTTATTATTTTTAAGGATTTTGTTTTTAAAATTTATATATTATAATATTTAATAAATTTATTATACATGGTGCCCAAACTCGCACCACAGACAAAAAGCGGGAGTGCCAATAGCACTGGAGATGCAAAATTTAAAAAAAATATTTTAGGTTATAGTGTAATTGAATGAGAGCAAAAAAACGGCATCCAATACCTCTCGCCTAGGTTAAACGTAGTATATTCAAATATTGCAAGGAGACGATAGAACATTGTTGTCTTAATACTTTTAAAAATCTTTTGGCCGACTGTGTTTACTTAGTTGATAAAACCTTTCAAAAATGAGTTTCATACTTCAGGAAGCCAATGTCTTAAACTAGCCCCGTACCCGAGCTAAAATCTTTGAGCGAAAATCTGGCTAGAAATCTTTTTGCTCTTAGCAACCACCGGCAAAATTACACTTTAGCAGGATAATCTTCCGGTTGGAGGTTCTGCACTCGCGTATAATTTATAAAATGAAAAGGGTGTTGCCTATCGTCCTTCATAACCCTCTGAAATGTAGAATGGGACATCCAGTTCCCGTGCTCTTCCTAAGTATTCTAGCAATTTAAAAAATTCTCTATGGGCATCTATTGGGATAGGCCATCGTTTTTTATTTGTATCTCGCTTATCATTTGCGTTACATACATTTGTTATCGCAAACATTTATGACATTTAAATAATGTTGTAACGAAGAGGACTTGGCCGGCAATTGAAACGCTCATTAAAAAAATCTCCCGGGGATCGAACCCGGTACCTTCGGATGCAGTTTGTCTCGGCTTAGTCGCCTAACCCACTGCACTACCCGTAAAAAAGACTATTTGTATTGTTCTATTAATGATAATTTTACCTATTTTGAAGCAGGATACATAATATTATCTACTTACCACTATATTTAACTTTCTTATCTAACTCTATAAGAGCAATATCGTTTGTATATGTTATATTGGAAAACTTTGAATGAACTATTTTGTTCTTAATTGAAAAATATAAAGGTGGTTCTGAACATTCCCCATAAATACAGTCAGTCCTATTTCTTAAATCGTATTCACCCAAAACAACATATTTCCTAAAAATACACGATATTTAGTTTTAGTATATGTACCTTAAACTAACAATTAACTTACAGTTCCTTAAGATTATATCTTCTTAAAATATCTTTATGCAAGCAATGCGCTGCTGTTAAGACATATCTATCAGTTATCAATGAGCCCCCACATCCATTAATTAGGCCGTTTTGCCCCTCGTAAAGTAAAACGGCCATCCATGGATATTCTCCAAGCTCTGTGGATTTTCCTCCTGTTATTCTCTCATTGCCGTTAACACTTATACCACATTCTTCATTTGCATCAAAGCTATAATTAAAATAGTAGTAAGAGATATTTGGAGGTAAAATGTGCTTCTTAAAATGTTAAGAATTTGTTATAAAAAATTTCTTTATGTAGGTACGGCTTAAAATGTACTCTCTTAAACATTTTTGTTTTCCTAATTTATTATTACTAGGGATGGGATTTTAGTTATTTTACCTTTTTTCAACCGATGTAACTATTTGAAAACCAATAATGCCAAAATGTGTTTTAAAAGATTTTCTTTTTATATGAACCTAACTTGTTTTCACCTTTTTTACCTTTTTTGGAGGTTTTTGCCTTAAACTACCTTTTTTATACTTTTGTTACCTATTTTTTTAAATTGTTTTCACCTTTTTTACCTTTTTTGGAGGTTTTTGCTTTAAACTACCTTTTTATACTTTTGTTACCTATTTTTTAATTTGTTAGTTTATTTTCACCTGTTTGTTACCTATTTTTTACGTATTTTTACTTATTTTATTTTTTTGTGTTCTTTTTAAATTTTGCGCCAATATTTTATCCAGTTCCTTATAGCTTTAATTAACTATTGATCAGTTTATAAAAAAAAATATTCTACGTTACTTATTTTATAAAAATAAACGAAACTTGAACTTTTAATGTTTTTTTTTACCTAATATGCTGTTTTTTTTTAACCTAAAATGCCTTTTTTTTAGTACCTTTTTAGTTAACTATTTTTCAGTTTTTAGTACCTAAATATCCCATCCCTAATTATTACCCTGTATATCGTCGCCTTCAGGAGAAAATTGCTTAACTCCATGAGGTAAAATTTTACAGGAGGACAGAAAAACATATTAAAGGTGTATTGGTGTATCTCCACATTACCGCCAAATTGTTTAATGGAAAATTACGTATCTCCAATATGTACTTTATGTTAATAAAAGTAACCTTAAATTATTCATGGTACCTTAACTTAATTATATAATTAACTATACAATCTTTCATACTTACTTTTAACAAATTTTACTTCGGAAAACAAAGGTTTTACGCTTAAACAGAAAAAATAACTAGGCAATAACTTATACTTGTCAATGGCACTGATTTGTATACTGGAGTTAGGCAATATTCTATGAGGCGCCGTTTGCGTCAAAATTATTCTATGCTTTTATAGATAAAAATTCCACACATATATGCGAAAATGCAAATATAAAGTTTCTTTTTGGTAAATACCTATATAGAAATGCAAAAGTAAAGGTACAAATATAAAGTTTTGTTTTGGCACATACATATATATATATATATAAAAATGCAAAAGTGCAGGTACAAATATAAAGTTTCGTTTTGGTACATAAATAGAAATGCATAAGTGCATGTGCAAAGTTTCGTTTTGGTACACATATAGATATGCAAAGATGTGGGTACAAATATAGAATATAATATAATGTTATATAAAGTGTAGCATGGGCCGTTGGTACAAATATAAAAAGTAAGGTTTGGGACGGAGGCGCAAGATGGCGTTTTCAACACTTTTAACCGCGCTTAAACGTACGTCTGTTCTTACTACCGGCATTTAAGTTTCTTCTTCATTTTTAATGTTTGTTTGATTTAATTAAAACGAATCGTTTTGTAAAAAATAGGTAAGAGTAAAAAGTAAAACGGCGTTTATAACTTACCTATTTTCAACTAAACTCCTTTTAATTAAAACAAACAAACGTTAAAAGTAGTTAATCTATAATACACAATAGAAAATTTAAATGCCGGTAGTAAGAACAGACGTACGCTTAAGCGCGGTTGAAAGTGTTAAAAACGCCATCTTGTGTCTCCGTCCCAAACCTTACTTTTTATATTTGTACCAACGGCCCATGCTACACTTTATATAACATTATATTATATTCTATAATTGTACCCACATCTTTGCATATCTATATGTGTACCAAAACGAAACCTTGTACATGCACTTTTGCATTTCTATATATGTACCAAAACAAAACTTTATATTTATACCTGCACTTTTGCATTTTTATATATGTACCAAAACAAAACTTTATATTTGTACCTTAACTTTTGCATTTCTATATATGTACCAAAAATAAACTTTATATTTGCATTGTCGCATGTATGTGTGGAATTTTTTATCTATATAAGCCTAAAATAATTTTGACGCAAACGGCGCCTCATAGAATAACACTGAAAAGCATATTAGCTTTTTAGTGTAAGCCGCCTTAATATTAAGAAACTAAATTTATCGTTATTTGTTTTTACTGATATAATAAACTTTCCTTTGGAGACCTCTTACCATGTATGTGAGTTTTTATATTTCATTAATTCAATAGACGTCGTATACAGCGTAACTTGTGTTTTATTTCATTTAAATGCCCAAATACCTTTTCTGATATTTCATCAGGTTATGGGCCCAGGCACACATAGTTAGTTTCGAGATTAAATTTAAATATATTCGCGAAGTGTAAAAAACAATATTCGCGAAGTGTAAAAAACAAATATTCGCGAAGTGTAAAAACAATATTCGCAAAGTGTATAAAACAAATATTCGCGAAGTGTATAAACAATATTCGCGAAGTGTAAAAAAAAAAATAAAATAAAAATGGACAGAAAAACAAATAAAAGAAATATTCAAGCTTTTAACGGCGAACGGTATGGTGTGTGGAAATTGCGAATAAAAGCTTTGTTGGCAGAACTCGGTGTACTAGAAATAGTTGACAGTGCTATACCTTCTGAACCAAGTGATGAGTATTTAAAACAAAATCTTTTGGCGCGTAATACGATAATCGAGTACTTAAGTGATTCACTTCTTGGGTTTGTCCAAGAGCAAACGTTCGCTAAAAACATTTTTAATAATTTGGACGATATATATGCAAGGAAAAGCCTTGCAACGCAGCTAACCTTACGAAAACAATTACTCAGCTTAAAATTACAACCTAGTGATATTCTCCTACAACATTTTCAAAAATTTGAAGAAATAATTTGTGAATTGGTGTCAGCAGGTGCTAGGCTTGAAGAAATGGACAAAGTATCGCATCTTTTATTAACACTTCCGTCAAGTTTTAATGGAGTCATCACAGCCCTTGAAACATTAACAGAAGACACTTTGAATTTGGTTTTTTTTTAAAATCGTCTCCTAGACTACGAGATAAAACTAAAGGCTGAAGAGAGTGCCACTGTCCTTCAATCAAATGCTTCCTAAAGGGATTCCTATAAAAATAAATTTAAACCAAATAAAAATAATAAAAAGAAGTTTAAAAAATTTAAATCGACAAATTACAACAAGCACAACCAATTTAATAAAAATCGTTCACTCTCAAACATCAGTTGCACTCATTGTGGGCGAAACAACCACCTGAAAAAAGGATTGTTTTCATTACAAATCTACTAATGAATCTGCAAGAAATCGAACCTTACAGTCGATACAAACAGGAGGAAATGACAACAGCTTTGCTTTTATGATGGGTGTTAAAAGACTTAAAACCACGTCGTTAAAGAACAATGAAATATTGTTTATTGTTGATTCGGGTGCGACTGAACATATTGTAAATAGAGACGATGTCTTCAACGACTGCACTGAACTTGAGAATCCCATAAAAATTTCAGTAGCCAAAGTTGGTGCTGCCGTAATGGCTACGAAGAAAGGCTGCATCAATGTGATGACAACTGAGGGTCAAAAGGGACAAATAAGGGACGTACTTTATGCACCAGATGTTCCGTACAACCTTCTCTCTGTGCGAAAAATGCAGGCAAGTGGGCTTGAAGTGATTTTCAACTCTTCAGGCATGGTTATCAAATGCAACAACTTTATAATCTCAAAAGGTAAACTAATGAATAATTTGTATGGGGTTGTTTTCACGCTTTCTCAAAATATAAACAATAGTTTAGTCTTGAGTGCAGTAAATGACTATTGCGTTTGGCACAGGCGTCTTGGTCATATTAGCAAATCAAAATTTAATAAGATTAAAACACATAACATGGAGTGTATCAAAAATATTCAGGCTATAACTCCATTAAATGATATATGTGAAGATTGTATTTATGGCAAACAAACAAGATTGCCGTTTAATAAAAATAAAATAAAGCGTGACAGCAGACCCTTGCACATTATTCACACAGATGTATGTGGACCAATTAGCCCACCAACAATTGATAATAAAAACTATTATGTTACATTTATAGATGATTTCACGCATTACACTGTCACCTATTTAATAACTTTTAAAAGTGAAGTTTTAAGTAAATTCATTGAATTTTCGTGTAAAGCATCTACACATTTTAATCTGAAAATATCTAATTTATACTGTGACAATGGTCGAGAATATCTATCAAACGATTTTAAAAGTTTTTGTTCTCAGAATGGCATATCATATCATTTAACCGTGCCACATACACCACAGCAAAACGGAGTAGCCGAGCGCATGAACAGAACCATTACTAAAAAGGCGCGTACCATGATATTAACAGCAAAATTAAGTAAAATTTTTTGGGGCGAGGCAGTTCTTACTGCAACATACTTAATTAATCGTGTTCCAACACGAGCCCTAAATAATGGTAAAACTCCGTATGAAATGTGGTATAAGCATAAACCAAATCTAAATAATTTAATAATTTTTGGATCTACAGCATACATACACAATAAAACGATGCAAACTAAATTTGATAAAAAATCCAATAAAGGTATTTTAGTTGGCTATGGGTCAAATGGATATAAAATTTTTAATTTAGAATTAAATCGTTTTGTGGTAGCTCGAGACGTAGTTTTTAATGAATCGAGTGTTAATACTAACCGATCTGATTTGGGTGACATAAGTCATTTGGAAGCAAGGCAATGTTTAGATCAAAATAAGCAACCTTGTCATTTAGATTTAGACATAAGGCAATGTAAACAATTAGACAAAGTACAACCTGATAATAAAAAATCAAAGCAATGTACAGAGTTGGAAAACATGAAAAACTCGCAACTTTACAATAAAGTAAAGCAATGCACGTCTGAAATACAACCTTGTGCTAATGACTTAAAAATGAGACAATGTGCCAAGTCCCCCTTAAATTTAAATGATGCGCAAACTCATGATGTTATTCAAAACAAAGCTGGTACTAAAACCACCGATCAAAATTCTGAATATAAAAATAATAAATGTACATCAACAGAATTTAGACGAAGCGAAAGAAACAAGGATCGCCCCACCCCAAACCTTGTTATAAAGAATATAATGAGTTTGAGAATATATTTTTAACAGAAAACTTAAATCTTGATATTCCCAAGTCCTACTGTGACATTAAAGTTAAAGACAATCAAACTCAGTGGGAGCGTGCCGTACAAGAAGAACTTAATTCTTTAATAACAAATAAAACCTGGAGTCTTGTTTATCCACCTCCTAAAATAAATCTTATTGATTCAAAATGGGTTTTTAATATTAAATATGATGAACACGGCAATCCAGCAAAATACAAAGCCCGCTTAGTTGCACGTGGATTTAATCAAAAATATCAAATAGATTATCAAGAAACTTTTGCACCTGTTGCTAGAATTACAACTTTCAGGTTACTAGTAGCTTTGGCAAATCAATTTGATTTATTGCTTCATCATATGGATGTAAAAACAGCATTTTTAAATGGAACTCTTAAAGAAGATATTTATTTAAGAGTACCGGATGGTGTGACTGCAAAACCAGGCCAGGTGTGTAAATTAAATAAAGCACTTTACGGTTTAAAACAATCGTCAAGATGTTGGTTTCAATGTTTTGATGACACGCTTAAAACAAGGGGTTTTAATAATTCAAATGTTGATCATTGTTTGTATATTTTAGATAAATCAGATATTCGGCAAAATATTTATTTAGTTCTTTATGTTGATGATCTATTAATTGCCACTTACGATGCTAACACATTATCAAGTTTTAAAAGTTATTTAATGGCCTGTTTTCAAATGGTAGACTTAAAAGAAATTAAGCTGTTTTTGGGTATAAGGGTAAACCGATTTAAAAATAAAATAACCCTTGATCAATCAGTTTATTTAAATAATGTTTTATCTAAATTTAATATGTCAGACTGTAAACCTGTAGAAACACCTTTATTTACAAAAGTAGATTTTACGGCATTAAATTCAGAAGAAGTTTGTGATTCACCCTGTAGAAATTTGTTAGGTTGTTTAATGTATGCCATGTTGTGTACAAGACCAGATTTATGTGTGGCAGTAAATGTGTTAAGTCGATATCAATCTAAAAATAATGCAGAAGTCTGGAAGTGTCTAAAACGAATTTTGCGTTATATAAAAGGCACAATAAATCTTAAATTGACCTATATTAAGGGTGATTATCATAATAGTATTTTATGTGGTTATGCTGATGCAGATTGGGCTGGCAGTCAAGATGATCGAAAAAGTACATCTGGCTACTTATTTCAAGTCTTTTATAATTGTACTATTAGCTGGAATAGCCGTAAACAAAACTCAGTAGCGACCTCCTCTACAGAAGCCGAATATATATCAATATTTGAAGCTGTAAGAGAAGCTATCTGGCTTAAATCTTTATTACAAAGTATTAATATTATTGTAGAAGGAAAAATTCCTATCTACGAAGATAATACAGGCTGCATCAGCATTGCAAATAACCCAGTACAACATAAAAAATCGAAACACATAGAAATTAAATACCACTTTACTAGAGAACAAATTCAAAAGGGTATAATAATTTTATTGTATATTCCAACAGGTGAACAGGTTGCAGACATATTTACAAAAGGTCTTCCTGCCCAGCGTTTTAATTTGTTAAGAAACAAATTAGGTTTATTCTAAAAAGAATAAGTGTAGTTTATAGAACAATAATATATTTTTTTTTGCTGTATTCGTTTATTAAAGGTCTCCATTTCTAATGTATTATTTACGATATGATAATTTATAAGCTATGTTAATTTATATTATAATTATACTTTATTTTCTTTTATTGACTGTAGCTTAAGTTTTAAATTTTAATATTAGTTTTATTTTTGTATTGATTTTGAGTGGGAGTGTTAAAAATAACAAAATCAAATACTTATTTTAATTAGGTTATTATATTTTCCCACATTAATAGAACCATAAAGTAAAAATGCTTATTTAACAAATCTTACTTACTTAGATTGTTAATGTTTATAAATCAATAAATTCATAAATTAATTAGGGCAATAGAATAACACTGAAAAGCATATTAGCTTTTTAGTGTAAGCCGCCTTAATATTAAGAAACTAAATTTATCGTTATTTGTTTTTACTGATATAATAAACTTTCCTTTGGAGACCTCTTACCATGTATGTGAGTTTTTATATTTCATTAATTCAATAGACGTCGTATACAGCGTAACTTGTGTTTTATTTCATTTAAATGCCCAAATACCTTTTCTGATATTTCATCAGCGACGATATATATTTTTTGACAATATTTTTATAAATTTTGTTCGAAAGAATAAATAATTGTACATCTCTCCTAAAGCATTTTTATGTTTTTCCAATTTATTAATATCATTAACATTAACATTTTGTGCAGAAGAATAAATAAACATACTTTTTTTTCTTGAGCATTTTTATGTTTTCCCAATTTATTAACCCCCTAAAAAGCTTCGTTTTAGTGTTTTTTTATCAAAACAGGGGGCGTCGCAAAAAAATTAATTTTTAACGACCACCCTAATGTCTAATCAAATTTTTTTTATGGTAAACACATTTTTTTGACAAGCAGAATTTTTTATAAAAAATAACTTTTTGTCGAAAAATTAAAAATAAAGATTTATCTCCTCTTGTCAACACCATCCGTGGACACACTGTATACAAGGGGCGAATATATTATTAGTCTTTGAAATCAAGAGAATGTGAGCTTAAAACCAGCTTACAGATGTATTTGTAAATTTTGTTACTGGTTTTGTTATTAATAAAAAATACTTAATTAGAGTGGAAAAAGCATAGTTTTATCGTTAAGTGAAGAAATATCACTGGTATCAAACTGGCATTAAACTAATTATATTTACTTTTCATTAATAATATTAAGTAAACGTTAAATTAAAAATTGAGAATTTCCAAAAAACGTCATAAAATACATGAAGACTCTTTATCTGTAAAGTCCCCTTAATTAAATTTATGTATTTAGGAACTTGCGGAAAACCATAAAAATCTTGAAAACTGAGTACTATTAATAATGTTGTTCTTAAAATTTTAATTTTAACTATAGAAATATTTATTTATTTATTTTAAAATTTTATACTACTATTAATATTTTAATGAAATAATAATAGTACATAATATACAGGGTGGTCCAGGATTAATCTGAAAAATATTACTGATCGATAGAGCCTGAAAAAACAATAAAAACAAACCCAAACTAACCCAAACTATCGGAGATATAGTCCTTCAAAATAATTTTTAAACCATCAAACCGATTCTTCTCAAATTTTGTGTAGGTTAAGCTTCCGTCGATAATATAATGAAAATTTCCTACAAAAGGCCCAGTGGCGGAGATTTTGGGAGGGGTTTCCCCTTTTTACCCTCATATTTTCGACGCCACTGGATTTTATTAGAAAATCATCAGATTTATTTTTAACCTTTTTCAATCTAAAAGCAAAACTTTTATGTTTATTTTTTATCAGATCAATGGTTTCGAAGATACTTCAGTTTAAAATTTCAAAAACACTGTGTACACGGAACTTTTGTTATTATTTTAGTAATAAAAAATTACTTTTTTTCTGAACGATTGTATTGGGCCAATAAAAATTTACCAATGAAATAATGAAATAATCACTTTCAATAGGGTGGTTTTTGGGTTGGTTTGATTTTGTATTATAATACAATTAAATTATTAATTACCGACGTTGATTGTAATCCTCAATCAACGTTACAATAAAACAACCTAAAAATATGACGGGTTCAGTAACAACTGCACGATGACTCCTGGACGTTAGTTTATTTTTAAAATATTTTATAAACTGATAACGTGGCATAATTGTTACCAAGTTACCGATTTAAAATAAAATATGATAAAGTTCCGTGTACTCGGTGTTTTTGAAATTTTAAAGTCTCTCTCTCTTATGAAAATTGAACACACAAGTTTTGCTTCTAAATTGAATAAGAAATCTGATTATTTTCCAATAAAATCCAGTGGTGTCAAAATATGCGGGTAAAAAGGGGAAACCCCCCCAAAATCTCCGCCGCTGGGCCTTTTGTAAGAAATTTTACCTACACAAAATTTGAGCAGAAGTTATTAAAAAAAAACGTTTTTCTGCCTTTGAAGGGCTATTAGTGTGTTAGTGTGTATTTTTTAAAAATGTTTTTGGGTTTGTTTTTATTGTTTTTTCAGGCTCTATCGATCATTAAAATTTTTCAGATTAATCCTGGACCACCCTGTATAATTTGTTTTTAAAATATTCAATACAATAAAAATTACAATTCGTAATTTTACATTACACTCATAAGTCTATACAGAAAAACTTCATAGTCAGTTCAAAACTCAAATTATTATAAATCTTCGTAAAAAATGTCATCATGTCATTTGAAACTTACCTAAAAATAATCTTTTAAAATATCAAAGAAAATTTAATTATAATTCTATAGAATATTTAATATTTTATAGAATTATAATTAAATGCTTGAAGAAAAAAATAGTATATAAAACCCGGTGGCAAAAGCTTATTAATTGCCTCGCACACAATCTACTGCCTTGGCTATCGCCTCGGCAGTAAAATGTATGCTCGGATATATTATATGCTTTCCCCGCCTGGTATATAATGTACTTATTTTCAACCTTATTTTTAAAAATTAAAAATAATTTTGAATAGGTACTAATAATTTAATTTCTTACTCTTCTTTACTGTCATCCACAGACCTATCTGTGCTGTCATCTCTGGTAGGTCTATGTGGTTTGAAAGGTGAATGTGAAGCTCGGTCCCAAATTGAATTATCATCTGAATGAAATGGATCCTTCATGGGACAACATACTCTAAAATCCTCATCATATGGCGAAAAACATCGATGTTTTTCATAGAATTCCATCCTTTCATAGTCATTTAAATTCAGGCTGTTTACAATTTTTAATAAAGGGGTGCAGTTGTGCACATGTGCACATGTTCCTAAAATATGCATGTTTCTTAATATATTAATTTTAAAAGTACATGTATTTAAAGAAATAATATGACCAAGAAATTAAATGAATAAGGACGGACAATGGAATAATAATTTTATCACACAAATAGTTTTATTTACCCACCGTTTTGTGCATGTCTCGTTTTACATCCAATAAATGAGGGACAAAAAATCAATGGTTCGTGATTAATAATTCCACAATGGCTATTTTTTAAAAATTTAATTGTTTTCGGAGCATACTTTTGTGTATTTATTAAGTTCATAGCCATCGGGCAATCTTTTAATGGGATACATTCTATATGAGTCGTCGTTGATTGGTCTAAAAAAACGTAAAGTTATAATTAAATTTTACTACAATTATAAGTTTATGCGTCAAAAAAACAAAATTTAATAACATTGCAAAAATTTAATTTTGCTACAGTATTGAATCACCATGTATTAAGTATAAATACAATGTACCTGTCTTTTGATGAAGGTTTTTACTATTGAAATAAATTTCTTATTCATAAAACCAAGAAAACCCATTAAAACAATTTTAACAATTAAAAAATGACAAATTTGTTGTTAATTTAAAATTGTTTTGATGGGTTTTTTGGTTTAATGAATATAGTATAATATTGATTACGCAGATTAAATAAAATTACATATTGTTAAATTAAATATATAAACCGTTATATAGTTAAATAAAAACCCCAATAGATAAAAACTCCAATAAAAATTACATACACGGATGACTAATTTTATTGCGTAAAATCATTTTGTCAGGAAATGTATCATGCAAAAAGACTTGTGGCCACAAAGACACATCATAAATAGTATATTGTGCGACTAGTGGGAGCGGTTACACGCGAGTGGAATCTCCTTTTTTGACGAATAGTCGCACACAATATTTTATTTAACTACCACAAGGAATTTAAAACCTATTTTATTTAATATTTAACATTTGCTGGCAAAAAAATTAGCCCCAAAGAGCAACACAATAGTATATTATGTATCAAGTTTGATAAACGCCATTTTATACACGAATTTAATTGAGGCAGGCGAGCTTGCGAGCGAGTGCTTAAATTAATGGGTGTATATAGTCCGGGAGGCAGTGAAGATTTTTATCTTCATATTTTCCCAGTTTGTTGTAAAATTTTCGGATGGGTTCACTAGATGAGCCAAAAAGTCAAGTCCACTTATTTTCCCAGTCATAAATATTTCACATTAATTAAAGTGAGTCATTTTATTAATGGAAATAACAGTCTGGCACCTCACAAGTGAAGGAAAGTCAGCCTGGCTGAAAATTTGCGGAAGCAAAAATTTGACCGGTTTTTAAAATACGTAGCCCTTATTTTCCCATGCTTAAAATTTAACCCATTATTTGGTACTGTCATAAACTATATTCAAAATTAAGTCTGGCTGATTTATGAAATTGGCAAATTGTTCTGGCGGCATCTTGAAAATCGTAAGAATTACAAAAATTTTGCTCTTATTTTCCCGAATTTGAAAATTTGTCACATGATAAATAATACTATAATTTCGTAGAAAATACACGTCTGGTTGTTATTTACAATCACGAAAGCCCCGCCAGACTCACAAGTCAGATAGTTAACTATCTGACTTTAATTAAATGAGGAGAGGAAGCGACGGGTGCTTATTTATTTAATTTAATTTATTTTTTTTAGCCATATTTAAATTTTGCTTTACACAAATTATTTTCTTATCAAACATTATGAAAAGTAAAAACATGTAGAGATGACAACAATCGCCTTTATAATTGAACATGCCGAATTTAGCGCGCCTGTGGAGGGTTGGACGAGTCTGGCAAGGCTTTCGGAGTGTTCCACATTAGCCAGACTATATTTGCAGCTGTAATTATAATATAAACTATCATCTCACAAAATTTTTAGGACTGCGAAAATAAGGGCAATGGTTTTGATAATTTTTCCACCTGCCAGACATATTACCCATACTCACAGATTAGCCAGACTATTTTTTTTCTTAAGTTCACTATATCTCTCACTAATGGCATTATTTTTATCACTGGAAAAAAAAATGCAATATATTTGTACTTTATAACGCATTTTCCGCCTTAACCCATCGGAAACCCCCCCCTAAATATATATAAATTTTGCTCAGAATAACAAACCCAATAATTGTATCGGTGTTTGCCGACTGGGAAAATAAGTACCGAAAATCTTCACTGCCTCCCGGACTAATAGAAAAGTTTATAAACGACCCAGCACACAAAGTCTTAAAGATGTCTTTTGTATGTCTGTATTATGACTGAACGTCTGAAGATCTAAAGAAGACGTCTTTTGATAGACGTCTTAAAGATATCTTCATTTAATGTTCTAAAGACATCTTATAAATGCCTTAAACCGCCGTTTATTTTTTTTTTAATTTTTTGATAAAATAGTGAATTTTGACAAGCAAGATATAATTAGGTACCATCTTATTTTGGTTTAATAGAAACAACATTAATGTAGGATTTTAAGTTTTGACAACGTTGATGTTTAGAGTAACTGAATAAATATATATCTGACATTCTTGTAGATTGGTTATTTTTTCTGCAATTAATAATATCCATTTGTAATAAAAACATTATTAGCTACTACAGCGTAGACTCTGTGTTCTACTCTGTGTTAGCTACATTTTAATTACTTAATACCTTAAAAACGTTTTGGCGATGTAGCAATGCATAACCAAGACTTTTTCAATAGGTAGTCTTTAACATCTTAACGACGTCTTAACAACGTTTAGCAACGACTTAATAATGCCGTTAAAAGGACATCTTAAAGACGGTGTGTTTTGTAACATTAGATATCTTAAAGACGTCTTTAAGATGACTTACGTCGTAAACTGAACGTCTTAGGGATGTCATAAACGTCCGAGTCCGACATCTTTAAGATATCTTTAAGATGTCTCTGTGCTATACTTTTTCTACGACAAATACTTAAATACAAATTTAAATCAAAAATTTTTATAGACCGCCATCTATGAAACAATAGGGGAATCTGTGTGTCACCGTCAAATGTCACATTTTTACATTTTATAAACACAGGTGATAAATCGAAATGTATTTCTTGAAAACTGACAGTTTTTCACAGTGAAAGTAAAGAGATAATAAAATAATTTTCACAGTAATATTTTACAAGGAAGGCACTTTATTTTAACGATTGTATGACATTTGACAACTGTCAACTAACTTAAAACTAACTTCAGCCCGTGACCAAAGCGCCATAAAGCCACAACTTGTCAATGTGTATTTAAAAGGTCACTTAGTGTCATGGAAACATGTCGTAAAGGGCGTTTTAAAGGTGGGAGTAGATAAAATATATTTTCAAAATATCAAAAAATAAATTGTCTAATTAATATTAAAACCTTTTTTACGATGGCAATGATTTACAATTAGTCATTTTTGACTAATTGATTTTAAAAGAGTATGTACACAAGGGTGATTTATTTCCGCAGTTTTTGTTTTTTTTCGGTGCTCAAGCAAAATATTAATCTGCATATAGAAAAAAAAATCTCACCAAGTTTGAGCTCTTAATATCAACTTTAAGTACTTACTATTTAAATTAAAAGTTTTAACGTTTAAAATACATATAAAAAATATTCTTTTTTTTTACAATATTGCAAATCAGTTTGATGGACCTTGTGGGGAATTTCACGCTTTCAAGTTTTTTTGTGTAACTCGCATTGGTTCATCCGTAGGAGTCGTCAAGTACCTACAGTTTAAAAAAAATCGTTTTTTTATATTTTTTCGAGCAAACCGCCAAAAGTAGGAAGAAAAAAAGGCTGACTCATAAAAAAAGTTATCCAACTAATATTTAATGAATTTACAGCCATTTTTATAACTGAAAACGTAAGAAATTGTAAAGTGGATTTTGCAATTTTTCAACATTTCTGTCATATAGCACAAAAATATAAATGAAGATTATTTAATTTTTTGAAGCGAAATTCCTAAACTAGGGAAAAATTCAATTTTTTTCATTGTCTTCTTTATTCACGCCAACTTTGTATAAGTAGAAATCGTTTTTTAAAAAATTGCACCAAGCAGTCCCGAGATGGCATATGCAACTGTTCGAATTTTATGATTGCTCTAGTTAATTCATATGACATTAGCCATTCTCTCGTCTTTGTTAATTGTTTTGATATCATACTTACCTCAACATAATTTTCTCATTGTTTGTCGTATTAAGTGATTAGTCCGAGAATCAAGTGACACTGATTCTAAGACAAAATAAACCAATTTTTTAATAAACTATATTCAAATTACTATTTATAATATCAATTTTTTGCTGTTAATTGTGTTTAATGGTTTATCGTATATAATTCGGCAAGACTATTTCACGAATATTTTTTTAGGCACAAAAAATGTTTGATTTAAATATTTATAAGCTTTAAAATTTACAAATGGAACTACAAAAACTAACCAAACTTAAAGGTTCTGTATGATTTTTTTGACCAAAACACATATTTTTTGATATTTTAAAATTAGAAACGTCGCATAGCAACCAATTGTTTTTTTATGAGCCATCCCTTTTTTCTCCCTACTTTTGGCGATTTGCTAGATAATAAAAAAAACGATTTTTTTCAAAAACTGTTCTTTGACGACTCCTACTGGTGAACCAATGCGAGTTACACAAAAAAACTCAAAAGCAATTTTGAAGAGCGTGAAATTCCACACAAGGTCCATCAAACCGGTTTGCAATATTGTCAAAGGTGGGTAAGCATTAGAAATTTGAAAAAAAAAGAATATTTTTTACATGTATTTTAACCGTTAAAACTTTTAATTTAAATAGTAAGTAGTACTTACTAAGTACTTAAAATTGATAGTAAGAGCTCAAACTTGGTGAGAATTTTTTTTTCTATATGCAGATTAATATTTTGCTTGAGCACCGACAAAAAAGAAAAAAATTGCGGAAATGAATCACCCTAATTTACACTGTGCAACAATTACAGTACAATTTATTTATAATTAAACCTGCAATGAATTTTAAAAATTTAAGTTAACTTTAAAAGTTATGGCCATTTACCAGAGCGACGCGTCGCCAGCCAATGGGCCAGGTAGGGGGACATCAATTAATTACGTGATGCATTTTTCTGATAATTTGGACCCCTCCCTTCCCCTGGTAAGATTTGGTGAAATGTGGTAGACCCCCCTATCCCTCACGTGAGATTCTTGCCATTAAACTTTCATTGCGGACCATGACAAACCCAAAAAAATTGATTACCTTTTTTTACATATTTGAATTAGAATACTTCTATTTTTGAACCCAAAAGTTGACGTGAGATTTTAAATGACCCCTCCCCCTATTTTTATCTTACGTA